CCACGAGGGCGTTGCCATGGTTGGCGCCGGGCAGGGAAAATTTTGAGTCTCTAGTTCGTTGGAAATGGCATTTTCAGAGTCTTCTTTACCTCTTTGGCATTATGATTTGTGAGTCTATGCTGTTTGTGATTATAGAAACCAGAACTCTAGACATGGAATTAAGTTCAAAAACTTTTTTGACACCCCCCTTTCTCTAGGTTAAAACTTTTTTGACCCCCCCCCCTATTTATAAGGGTAAAACTTCGTTTGCCCCCCTCCCATTTACCACTCCCCTCTCCTCCCCATAGATTTTTTCTTAAAAATGGGACGCGATGTTATTACGCGATGTGTTTCTTTTTCTTTTTAGAAATTAAATAAATTTGGTTTTTGATGTGTTGATAGATAGTTTGTTTGTGTTTAGCCATTCGGCTATTTTTTCCACTTCCGTCTGAAGAGTTTCGTTTAGTAGTGAGGCATGAGTGACTATAAAATATATTTGTATCATCAGCAAACAATAGCATTGATGTTATATCACTACACTAGTTTTGAATATCGTTAGTATTAGAGGATAAAAAGTAGCGGACCCAATATTGAACCTTGCGGGACCCGGTACATCTATAGAATACCCCCATATTGAAGAGTCTGCCTTGCTACGCATCAACGCGGGGTTGTTGAGAACATAAGGCCTACGCGCCTGTATACGCGCTCTCGTGGGTTTAGCAAAGTGCCTATAGGCATTCATTTCTTAACAATACGTCAATATAGGTCTCCGTTATATTTATAGGTCACAGTTTTTCTATATTCCATTAATGCATGGGCTCTACCATTTTTTTATCAACCAACCTCTCGTAAATATAGTATAGTACAAACTTGAATGTGACTGTAAAATTAACTAAATATTTAATTGACACTTGAAATAGAGCATACTAATTATAAATTCCTGTTTTGAATACACACTTTGACTGGTTTGAGTTGAAGGATCATACTTAGGGTTAGGTTAGGGTTAGTGTTAGGTTACTTAGGGTTGCAACGTGCGGACCGGGTGACATCTATGCACATAGGCCTGTAGGCGCGTAGGCGCGTAGGGGCGTAGGCGCGTGCATGCATGGTGATCGCTAGATAGTATACTTCAAAATAAGGTTTCCGTTATTATAACGAAGAAAAAACGATCTTAACACAAAACTAAACCCTAACCCTAATACTAACCCTTACCCTAACCCTAACCTAACCCTAACCTAAACCCTAACCTAACCCTAACTTAATTTAAAAATTCATATAAAAACGGAAATCTTATTTTGAAGTATACTATCTAGCAATTTCCGTGCATGCATGCAGTCTGTAGTTACGTAGGCCCGCAAAGCAGGCGCGTATCGTGTAAGGTTGTGTAGGCACGTAGCTAGGCGTATGGACCTTCTTTAAAACGGGTTCCTGTTGGCCGGGGATTGAATTGAATTGAATTGAATTTGATTTGCCCATATGGAAAAGTTAATATTTACAATCTTCAAAGTATACAATATGACGGGCTAGGAGCCTTCATGAAACCCTTTCAGGCTTTTTGTTAAAAGGCCCCTAGTTCTATAATATTTTTACATTTGTTTTATATGGTAAGTTAATCATATAATGTCGAAAGAATATAGGAATATTTACAAATACAAGTATAAAGTAAGGAAAATTTTAATTAAAGTAAAAGTAATATAATGAGCTAATTGAACAAAGTTTACAGATAATAACAATTAAGTATATTTTACAAGAAAAATATTTTTGACTTTTTCTTAAAAGTACAATAAAACATAATACTGCTAATTTCTTTATCAAGTGAATTCCATATCTTAACTCCCTTGTTAACAATAGAATGTTTTGTATAATTTGTTCTACTAAAATTTACATGAGGCCACTCCAAATTAGACTTTAGTTTCCCGTCCCCCGCCCGCGTCTCCTAGAACTGGCCGCATGATTTGTCCATTATTGCGAACTTGTTTCCATTATTTGACCTTTATGACTAAGAATAATGAAAATGCACAGTTTTCCAAAAATCTATCGTTCAAGAAATACATATTTATCATATAATACGTAAAAATGAAAACAAAATTGTTCAAACTTTTATGAAAGAGCGTGAATTGTTGTTTTTGTTCGTTTTTACTACAGTAAAGTTCTAACCGCTGACCACTTCCGTTACACGTTTTGATTTTCGAACGTAAGGTTAATTATATCCTGGCTTTCATTTCTGCATGCATACAAAAAAAACAAAACAGGACGTAGTAACGTGGTTGAATGGATATTTAAAATGTGTAACTATTTCATGGAATAATGGGTCGTGTCAGATTCGTTCAGACACCATAATGGATAATGGACCGCCCGCCCGCGTGTAATTTGAAATAAGGCCCGGACGGGAAACTAAAGTCTAATTTGGAGTGGCCTGAAATTTGTTAGCATTTCGAGTATTGTAATGATGCACTTCATTGTTCTGTGCGAAGTAGCCATTAAAAAATTCAGGTAAATTTTGTAGACGTTTAAACCGGTTTAAATAGTCATTGATCTTAAAGATATTCAAGATCTTTAAGTTCTGAAACAATGGTTCGGTGTGTTCAAGATACGATTTAAAACCGCTTATCATGGCTGATAATTTTTTCTGTATATTCAGTATTTTCTGTAGCCTTGTTGGGTACGTATTACCCCTTACTAGATTCCCATAAGTAAGATATGGATAAACCAATGCATAATAAATCAACTTAAGTGAAATTTTATTTGTGTAATGTCGTAGTTTTGCTATAAGTGCCATAGATTTAATTATACAGGGTGTATCAAAAAAAGCGCAACCTCGGAATTTCCCAAGAAATCGACATTGTTTTAAAGACAAAAGATTTTAGGCGCCTGGGAATTTAAAATAGCATAACTGTCAAAATTACTGCACACGCGAGTGCATAAAGCAAAATTTATGCATTTATTTAATGCACAACAACAGTAATATGATCTATTAGCAATTCGCTTTCAATTCCCAGGGGCCTAAAATCTTTTATGCTTAAGAATTGCAAAGTGATTTCTTAGGAAATTCCGAGGTTGCGTTTTTATTGATACACCCTGTATGTTTAACAACCGAGTTTATATCGTTTTTCCATGTTAATTCACGATCTAAAATTACACCTAAAAATTTGATATGAGAAGCCTGTTGTATAATGTTATCATTAAGTTTAATATCGATTTCAATGTCGCATTTTTTATTTCTTGATTTAAAAATTATATACTTAGTTTTTGTTGTATTTATAGATAATTTATTCACGTTTAGCCATTTAATTACTTCATTAATTTCTTCTCGCAAAACATGCGTTAATGATTTTAAGCATTTGTCAGAGTGAAATGCATTAGTGTCATCAGCATACATAACAAAGGATATAATTTTACTGCAGTTTTCAATATCGTTAATATATAATAGGAAAAGTAGTGGCCCAAGAATAGAGCCTTGCGGAACTCCTGTAGATATAATCAATTTGTTTGATTTATGATGACCAAACTTAACAATTTGCATTCTTTCGTGTAGGTAGCTTTCAAACCATTTTAGGCAATGTCCTCTAGTGCCATAATGTTCAAGTTTTTTTAGGAGAATATCGTGGTTAACTGTGTCAAAAGCCTTAGATAGATGTATATTTACCATCATCTATAGCTTTTGAAATCTTGTCAGTTAATTCAATTATAGCATGTAGTTGACCGATTTTTCCTGAAACCATATTGATGCTTAGATAAAATATTATGTTTTTCAATATATGAAATTAGTCTTTTATGCATTATTTTTTCAAGTAGTTTTGAAAAACATGTGAGAACTGAAATTGGTCTGTAATTTCCAAACAGGTATCTTTCATTTGCTTTAAAAATAGGAGTAACGATAGCTATTTTTAGTGCATGATCCCGGGATTAATCCGGTATCAAACGTTAAATTGAAAATATGTGCAAGAGGTTTGCAGATTTCTTGTTTTATAGTTTTTAGCATTTTGGCACTTATATTATCATGTCCTGCACTTTTATTTGTATTTAAGTTATCAATCTCAGTCAGTATTTCAAGTTCAGTAACAGGCTCAGCAAACATACTCTCTCTATAGTTTCCTTTGAGATATTTTTCAAATGATACTGTATCGTTTTTTCGAATACCTTTTGCCAAATTTGGACCAACATTTACAAAATATTCATTAAATTTGTTAGCAATTACAATTGGGTCAGAAAAATGGCAATTGATAAAACTAGAATAGTGAAGCGAATAGTGCGAATAATCGACGAATAGTGCGAATAGTCCGCGAATAGTGCGAATAGTCCGCGAATAGTCGACGAATAGTGCGAATAGTCCGCGAATAGTCGACGAATAGTGCGAATAGTTGACGAATAGTCCGAAAGTCCGCGAATAGGGCAATAGAGACTTTGCACCAGTGCTGTACTGTAGAACTGAATTTATCGAAGGGGGAGGGGCATTTCACTCCAAAAAAGCGTACGGGATTTTCGGATTTTTAAAAATCCGCGGATTTTTGAAGAGAAAATCTGTTGGATTTTCCGTATCTGTTCGTTTTTTCCCCCGGATTTTTTGACGAAGTGTACGGGATTTTTGGAGTGAAATGCCCCTCGGGGAGGGGGCTCTATTGACGAACATGAAATTGTGAACATTCGTTGACGTCAATGACGTCATACGTTACCGGCAAGCCATATGAGTCGTGAATTTTACTGATGGAATTTTATAGGAATTTTACTTGTAAGTTGTGACGTATTAAGAGTTACGGGCTTAATTTAAGTGATACAGTTCCTACTCTTTTACTTGTTGCTTCGCTTCGTGCGAAAAAATTCGCCCAGTGAAAAATTCGGGCTTTAGGGACGCCATTCTAGTGATTGTCATGTTAAATACTTGTTTAATACTTCTCTTAATAATATTGATTTTCGAAAGTAGATGGGGGGGCTCAGCCCCCCCCCCCCCACCCACAGCGCCCCTCTTCCAAAGCACTGTTTTGCACGTTAATAATTGAATTACTTGCGAGTGTAATCAAGAGGATTTTTTTAATAACTGGCCAAAACTTACAAAATAGTACCTTAAATTCCCAATAAATCAACTATACTTTATAATATTGTGACATCAAAGGCTGTATAGGGAACATGAATTTGGCTAGGCAGAGCAGGACAGCCGCTTTTGTATTCCGCTTCGTACTATCACATAGTCAATAGGCAATAAAATCCCCATATTATTATAAATAAACTACTATCCGAGCAGGTTGGGAGTATTTTATTTCCGAGGAAATCTTCTCGCTCCACCAAGCTAAAATCATAGAAACAGGCCCTATAAAAGTCGTTAAACCAACGTAACGCAACTCATATTTAAATTTTTAACCCCATAAATGAATATATATATCAATGTATGTGTGTATAGTACAGTAACTTTTGAAAGGACAGTCATGCATAGATAATTTACATCACATGTACTGCACATGTAATCCGGACGATTGGATAAATGCTTGGGTGGCGCTTGATAAGCTCTCCCACAACTCTGTAGCCACCGACACTCTTCCATTGAACACTGGGTTCTTCTTTACTATATGCGAGGGATTTAAGTGATAGTAAGCAGCTTGGAAATCATTGGTGTATTGCAAGTTTCCTTGTGCATCTTTCCCCTTCACTCGCTTATCGAAATGCCTGACGACGATGTTCTTTGGTTCGCGTCGATAGCACTCGGCAAAATCTTGCCCGCAACCATAACACTTTTTTACTCTGTTACTGAGTGTCACCAGGTCATAACCATATGGGGAGTAACCCGAATGCCACGTCATGTTCCCTTGGCTTAATACATTGGGAATCTGATGTTGATGTAGTTGACTGGGATTTCGCAATTGCACTGCGAATGTTCCCGTTTGCATCGCTCCCTACAAAAAAATAAGCGTGGATATAATATGCATGCTAATTTAATTCTGATTGATTTTACATTAAAACACTCGCATTGTTATCATGCATGTACCGTAGAATAATATAGTTGGTACTTCCTATTAAACAAACAACATGCAATAGTGTTTGTTTAATCAAAGCTCTGTGGATTTAACGGAAAAAGTACTTTATTCGTTAAGCTGGAGTAATACGAGCAACAAAATTGCTGCAACTTGCAAGTTGCAACAAAATCTGATTTCTACGCATGTTAATTGAAAATGTTTAACATAAATTGCAAATCACGAGGCAATATGTGTCAACATTTCTGCTTAACATGCGTTGAAATCAGATTTTGTTGCAAGTTGCGGCAATTTTGTTGCTCGTACAGTATTACTCCAGCTTTACAGTGGACGTTTCGACTGCAGAGTCCGAGTTTCTTTGGTTAGCGTTTTC